CATCTCAAGAGATATAGAATAATATTCATTTTCTCTTCCTCATTCTCTGGCTTCGCTCTTCTCCAGTCTCCCTACTCCGTTCTCTTCTACTTCTCTCATGGTATCAGAGCCAATGGGGGATCTAGATGCTGCCGAAGCCTTCCCTATCTCCTCCTCCTCCTCCGATCAAACAACTGATTCCTCTACCGCTAGCCACATTCCCCAACCATTGAAGTTTCTTGTATCCAACATCAAGATTCGTTTATCGATCGGACGTCGTCCGAGCGTCTTCGAAGCCTCATTTTCGTCGTAATGCAGGCCTTTATATCATATTTGCATCGCCTAGAAATTCACCACCATCTCGAATGATCCAAATTTATCAAATAAAATGTATATCCTGAATGTCGACGACGTTCCAAACGCAATGGCGTTGTCCTCTTGTCGATCGGACATCGTCCGAGCATCTTCGAGGCCTGATTTCCTTGAAATACGTGTTGTCTCGAAATTCATGTCACTCATTAGGATGATCCAAATTGAACAAATAAAATATAGTTTTTGAGTATTTGCAATGTTCTGAACACAATGACGAAATCCGTTTGTTGATCCGACATCATTTGATCAGCCTCGTGCTTTAATTTCGGGTGTCGGTCGTCCCTTTTGACCAATCTCATCCGATTCAATTACAAGGGGCCTTGACCCAGCAGAGTTCAGTATCCTGATCGCAACGCCATTATCCGTTTGCCAATTGGAGGTCATTTGACCCTTCAAATGACGTGTGATGCCAAGGCGCGTATCGCTTTATTCGTTAGTTTTGGTACTTTCTCGCCCGGTTGTAGGTATAGGGGTCAACAAAGAGATAGCTATTCGCCTCCACCCATCCATGATGGAACAATGGCATTAAGCCCATCAATAAAGATCACAACAGGATTAGCTCTCCTTGCTGAATAAAAAATATCATTTAATGCTTGCTCACTTTCACCATAGTATTGACTAATAATTAATCGATTTATCTCAAGCACCTTTTGTAACAACCCAAACTCTTAACTATCACGAGACATTGTCCGCTTTGGCCTAAGGACCACATGGTTTTGTCTTGTTGGTGTAATATCCCAAGAGGTCACCCATCCCAAGATTTCTTTAGGATGAACACGCTTAACTATGGAGTTTATGAATGAAATTTCAATCATTGCACCAAAAGGCGCCTTGTTGTTTAAGATTTTAACTTCTTTTTACTTAAGGGTTTCACAATCTACCCCACTTAAATAACTAACATCCTTGTTAGTATCCTTATCCTAGAATCATCTACTAGTCAAATATGATTCTAGAGGTGATCCCTACAAGTTCAAGTGGTTAGTCCCTCTACATAGTAGTTTGTCACATACAATGTTCAAGAGGTGGCTCCCATGGTGTAGCTCTTTGTCATGTATGACACTTAGTTTCCATCTTACGACTGGTATATTACTCTAATACCATTTGTAACAACACAAACTCTTAACTATCGAGATATTGTCCGAATTGGCCTAAGGGCCTCACAGTTTTATCATGTTGGTGTAACTTACCAGGAGGTCACCCATATCAAGATTTCTCCGGGATAAGCACGCTTAATAGTAGAGTTTCTTAATGCAATTTCAACCATTACACCAAAAGACACATCGATGCTTAAGGGTTTAACTTTTTTTTTTTTTTACTTAAGTGGTTTCATACATGTAATTGTTGACTGTAACCATTGCATACGAATGCTCCAAATCTTTACAAACCCAATCTGCCTTCTAAAAATTCCCCCGGGATCACATCCCCAAATTGGAATTTTTCGGAGCCCACAGTAATGATAATTGCTTTTACATAATCTCTTCTCATTACTTGCTCATAATTTTCCTATTATTCCCCATACAACATCATTCCTAAAATCCATGTTTTTAAGCACTCATACACAAGGCACATCACCCTTATCTTGAACAATATCCATGGAGTTTCACTGTGTTCCGACGTCATACCTCTGGCTATACTTTGAACTCATTCTTGCAACTCTTCTGATTGACGTCTGGGATGTCGCCAGCGTAGAGGTTTTGGTTGAATATAAGCTTCTGGAAAGTAGAGAAATTACCGATTAAGAAAGGGAGAGAACTAGATGGGCGGTTGTTCAAGAGGGTGAGCTGGCCCAAATTGGACAAGGTCTAGGATTTACTGGTGTCTGGGAATCTGTCGACGAGGAGAATGCCCTGCAGCTCAACCTCAGCAACATTGGCGAAGCCAAAGAGTCCTCTCGAGATGGATCCAATAAGGTAGTTTTCACCCATTCGGATCCTTCTTAGAGACGAGCATTGGCCTAGGGAGATGTAGTATGCAAAACAACTAGCACCAGTGTAGCCATTGTTGCGGAGATTGTCGCTTAGATCGAAATTGGTGGGAGATATTGTTCTCTCAATAATTGATTCATTCTCTGCCAACTGCGAACATGTCCACGTCCTTCTCTCCGCCGCATCTGGAGCACTTATTTCCACCATGCGCTAGCTCCCGCTTTAAGTTTACAGTTCACTTATTTTTTTGGTTCAATCTCCATGTATTCAAAGAAAGTTTTGATCGATCTCTCCCAATCCAAATAATCTTCAATGTGCAACTTGCCATCAAAATTAGGGCTGCAAATTTTAACCCTGAACTCACTGTGATGTCGATTTATTTCCCTCTGATGCCTCATACGCCTATTGGTGACTTCATCCTCCAAATCAGAAACTTCCAAATGCTTGAAACGGTCTACTTCCTCCTCCGAATCAATCGCCTTGATAATTAAATAAGGTATGTCTAATTTAACCCTGAACTCACTGTGATGTCGATTTATTTCCCTCTGATGCCTCATACGCCTATTGGTGACTTCATCCTCCAAATCAGAAACTTCCAAATGCTTGAAACGGTCTACTTCCTCCTCCGAATCAATCGCCTTGATAATTTGAGAGCCCTTTTGCTACTGTCGTTCGGCCTCTACCCTTCAATGCATTGCCGACATTGTTGTTGGAAAAACTGTACGAATGGGTTGGATCCGATCCAGTCCGTCATTGATCGCCCGTAATTACTGACACATTTCATCGTAAAAACGATGAACCTCCGATGTTATTTCGTCAGTCCGCTGCGCTAACCGGTTATGCTCCGTCCAAAGAGCTTCTAGGCTATTGTCGACGTCAAGAGCCACCCGTCTGTTGCTTTGGGTCATCTAGCTCTGATACCAATATTGATGTAGATCGATATCCTTTCGGTAGAGACACGAGCAAGTAGAAATCAATTGAACAGTAAACTCGTGTTACTCAACTACGTGAAAACAGCGTTCTCTGAAAATGCTAAAAAAAACTGAGCTTCTAAGCTCACAGTTTCAGGTAAGTAATCTCCACAACAATGACTATTAGAACGGTTAAAACAGAAAGAGTGTTATCATGTGTTGTGCGCCTAAAATTAGCAACGGATCAGATGGAGGTGTCTAAGAACGATCCTAACTAATTAAACATGATCCGCCCGGCCTTCTTGGTTAAGATGCTCCGCATCAGTTCCTGATGATGATACATCACTTTCAACTACAAACGACTCTCGCCACTTCTCTTCACACTGCTCATGATGCTGCTATATATGCCAATTGATCACCACCGTAACTCCATTCTTATCTAACGGTTAACTTGTTTCTCATCTGTACTCTCTCTAAGCTTTCTCCTCTATAAAACACGCTTACTGTACTTACTTATTATTAAGAAGAAATGCATTTCACGGTGGACTTGTCTCTGTACTTTTTTCCTCTTCGCTCCTGGTAGAAATACTTGTTCTGTACAAGTATTTTATCACAGATTTATGAATGAAAACCGAACTTTTCTTTTTTTTTTTTTTTTTAAAAAGTGCTAAAAGTGATTTCTCGCTTGTTCGGATAAAGACACTTAGGCAAAATTAAAGCACAACGTACTACTTTCTTTATATGTTCATAAAAGTTAGCCATCCTTTGCCTACTCCAACCACTAGAATTTTTATTGAGTCCGGTAAAAATACCGAGCATACCGAGTGTATCGAGCGTCTGTACCGAGCACTTTAGTGACGTGGCGTTTTGTTATTGATTTCCAAATGCATTCGATAACCTGACGGAATCATCTCTCCCAACCACTAGCATCGAGTATGAAAACTGAAAAAGCTATGTGTTGTTAGTTGTTACAGATATTTTAGTATTTAGTTTGTTTATTTATTTATTTATTTTGATAAATTTAAGACTTAAAATGAGATAATTTTTTATTATTTATTTCAAACCAAACCTAAAACCGTGCCGAATATAAAATTAGTTTTGACATATAACTAGCTCTAATTGAGCGCAATAATAGTAGTCTAAACTAGAGTTGATTAAAGCAGTTATTAAAATATATTTGAGCTGAATCAAATCAAAATACATTTAGTACCCTAAATTAAATTAAATGTTTAGGTTTTATTTTACATTCTGATCGCATCATCATAAATGCCTTAATTTTGAATGTTCTGAGAGGTTTGATGATTTTTATTTTAAATGTTGGTATTTAGTTTAACTTATTTTTTAATGTGAAAAATTCTAAATTATTTTAACTCCTAATAAAAATATCAAAATTTTTACTCACCTTTGAATTTAAAAGTTAACATTAAATGGATAGTATATTTATAATTGTTATGTTTTATAATGTTTTAGATGCAAATTTGCACTAAAATTTTTTCAAATACATTGCCAAGTCATGTTTATTTTCTACAAAAACTTTTGAAAAATAATGATTGAGTATATTTGTAGCAAAGCAAAAACATTTTTGATACGACTATAAAATTCATATGATCAACACGAATTTAAAGGTAATCTTTGAATTAAATATTTGTTAAATTAAAATATGATCATATGAACTACAAATTTGACTTGCTTATACTTGAATCGAGTAACTCACCAAAATGAATCCAACGAGCCTAATATTATTCAATTCTGACATCATTAATTAAGGCATTTAAATGTTAAAAAAAATGCATCATGGTTAAGATAATCAATATGGACCATACAAAGGAGTTTCTGCTTAAAATTATGAAAGTACATATCCCAAAAAATCTATAACTAAAGCTATTCTCCATATGAGAGAGAGGAAATGAGAGTTATAGAGCTCTCATGAATTTCTAGACTATTGCCCCCCAACAACCACCATAACTGTCAATGATCACCACTAGTAATTGCCACCATCTCTAGAATTCTAATAAGACTTAATCCTGCTGTTTATCATATTTGTCTCCGTGTGGTTAGTTCTAGCTTGCACTTTTTTTGAGGATAATCTGGCAGAGATAGTGATTCTGATTCTGTGGCATGTTATATAGCATGAAGACTGTCTATAGGCACATGTCTACAGTCTGACTCAGCAAAAAGCTCAGGATGCCCCAGATGTTGTGCAAGATATATATGAATTACATTACTATTGGAAAAAACACTCATTTTCGTCTGCCAAAATACGTCGAAAATGAGACAAATCCGCAGGAAAAATATCTTTCCAACGAATTTCTGACGTGAAATTGTTCGGCATTAAAACGTGCATTAGAAATAACTTTCCAACGAAAAACTTGTGGATTTACCGACGGACTTCTGGCAGAAATGTGTCATAGAAACAACGTTTTTTGAATTCGTTTTCCGACAGTTTTAGATACCAAAATTTTCGGCGGAATAAATCCACCAGAAGTATCGACAGTGTATTCTCCAATCATTTTCACTGGAAAGCCCAGCGAAATTTGCCAAAAAATAATCCACTGAAATTTCTAGTGGATTTGACATTAGAAAAGCTGTCAAAATTATCGGTGGACAGTCCTCCGGCTAATCCTCCAGATTTACCAGCAGATTTCATCCATCGGAATGGTCATTCTTATTCATTGTACCGAGGTTTCCGGCAAATTATATGTAGAAAATCCATTGTAAACCTGTAGCAAAAAAAGTACATTTTCTTAATTATTGTACAACCTAATAATCCTACAATCAAATAGTCAAAACATCTATGTATTATCATCATAACCATCATTACCTTCCGTCTCTTACCACTTGGTGCATGACTTTTGAAATTGTTGAAAATATTTTTTTTTTAGTGAGAGTGCTAGCTAATATGCACAGGTGATATATATATGGGGGAAAGATCATTATGCCTTCTTGTACATCCAAAATAATGCCTAAAGGAGAAAAGACCTAACACTAGATAAACTCCTTAAATGCCTAATCAATAGAAAAAACTTACAAACAATGAAGACAAGGATGACCGATGTAATAACTCAAATATTTGAAATAAATTTATTTAAAAAATATGAAATTTTTGAAGTAGAACGCTTTGACGTTGATTTGGTGAGCACTGCGATGCTAGCTGATAAACAGTATGTATGTATGCATGTATATATACGTTTTTCCAGCCGATCGTTTGCCAGAACCGTTTCGACTTCATTTTCGCCAGAATTAATTCGATGGATTTAAGTAAGCCGGTGGACATTCCTCTAGCACATCCGCCAGAATGGTCCCAACGAAATTTTCGCCAAAACATTTTGTCGGCTTAATTCCTTGGCAAATCAAAATTTCAAAAAAGTAATTGGATGACCTAGGAAGATTTTGTTGATCATAAGCCATTCATCAAGCATTTAAGTCCTTAATGACATTAGATTTTGCTTGTTAGATTAATTATAAATTCTGAATTTAAGTTTGAAAGTTTCTAATTAAAAATATCTTTATACTATACAATTTTGCTTGTATAAATATATTTTTCATAAAAAATATGTAATTTGTGCTCTTTACAAAGTTAGAGTTTATGGTCATACTATTAATTAAAAAATATTGAAAACTAATTTATGTCGCCACTGTGGAAAAGTACTTTTGAGTCTGCCACTGACTATAGGTTTATATCATTTTTGCAATGAATTACTACAAAGTAGAAAATAGTAGAAATAGAAAATGTTGAACTCGGATAATATTACATATAATCATAAAGATATTATAATGTAAAATTTTGGAGTACACCTCCCTTGAAATATATTTCAGAGAGGTTTCTTTGAAGTCCACCTATCGAACATGGCGAAACATTGCTGAGGCTTGAACTCTGGCGCAGTGTGTCCGGCCGCCTGGAAACAGACATACATACAAGGAATTAAAACCATTAATAACTAAAGATTATGAATTAAATAAAACAACTATTGGATTACCCTCACTGTCGCAAAAGTTAAATCGTTTGAATACAGAACTGTATACCTAACAATACAAACATTAGGAGATGTCATTATATATTAAATATCATGCATCAAATTAATCTTATTCAGTTAGTGGAGATCTAACCCTGCAACTTGGTCATCAACACTCCATGATCTCCATGGATCCACAACCGTTAAATTTAAGGATTTAATCCATAGCTTGGTGCCCACAAATGGGATCAACATGTCATGGTCACCGCTGTTTTTAAAAAAAAGTCTCACTAATTATAAAGTTTTATTTCTTGTAATTAATTAAGAGCCAGCATTAACTTAACCTGTAAACAAGAGCTCTGTAACCTCTTTTTAATAGATTCAGCTGATAAGGTAAACTGCTTGGGATGTCTTTCAGGTAATCGAAGTTGTTGCACCTCTGCCATTCACTCACTGTTCCCTGCTCGATCATGCATGCACACTATTTATTTAGCATAGGTTTTGAATTAGTATTTAGAGAAAGTTAGGATCGATCATACCTTCCTGATTTGAAGGGCCTCTCTGGTGACATTTTCGTTTGCCCAGAAATAACCAAGGTAATAAGCATAGCCCTGCAGCAATGGCAACAGATTACACAACAAGAAAGCGATCAGAGTAAAACAGAGAAGAAGGTGCGCTAGTTAATTAATTGTATCAACTTTGCAGCGGAGTTCGGGAGCCTTCGGTGGACGGAAGAGCCGGCCAAAGCTGTCCTCATTCAGTGATCTCTTATAGTACTCTCTGGCGATGTCTTTAGGCCTTGGGAAGTCCGTCGCACATTTGGGCTCCAATACGTCTGTCTCCGACAGCTCCCAACGGTACTGCATATGTATACATATACATAATATACGACCTTTTATAATCTCCCTCTCTCTCTCTCTCTCTCTGTTTTTCTCTTTCTATATATCTGTATGTTACATATAGATTTTCTTACTTTTTTAAAGGTATCGAGGCGAGCAGCGCACTCTGCAGTTTTTGGATTTTCATAATCTTGTCCAGCACAATCCTTTTCAACGAGCTGAGACATTAAAATCAAAAGAAGTAATTAAGAATATTAATCATTAGGCATATTGTTTTTATAAACAATCATGCATATTAATTTTACTTGCCGCCGGTATATATTGAGAAGTTACGGAAAACAGAGAACAAGAAACAGAAAAATAGAGAAAGTATTTCTTGTATTCATCATCTATCACATACAACCAAGGGGGGTACATATTTATAGCTTTGCATTATAACTAACACAAGATCAGTTAGTTATATGCTGAGCTAGCTATGAGCTGTCAAAGAACCTTCTACACACATCTGTTACATATATAAATATGCATACGAATTAGTGATAAGTAAGTGATTATAACCTCTGCAAATTCATCAGAGATGATGCCCATTCCAAGGGCAAATGGAACTCGGGCTTTAGTATCAATCCTTTCACCCGTTCTTGGATTTCCAATAATATAACCCTGAAACATGTCATAAATTTTCTCATGCATGTTCATACTAAACGTTATCCTTTCGAAATGAGCAAATACCTGAAGATTAATGAAGGGTTGTTCTTTCACATCATTTCCTGTACGTGATTAACAAATTGTAATATAAGCAATTGAGCTATCCTGCAATTATAGATAGTAACTAATTATTGAATTATCAAATAGCTTGTCCTGACATACCATCTGCAATAAATTGAGCAACGACGGGGACTAACATGCCGCCATAAGAATCTCCAGCAACATAAAAGCCGTTTGTGCGAAAACGAGGGTGCTCTACTAACCACTGCAATATGCGAGATGTATATACACAAGGATTGGAGCTAGCGCTCAGGAAATAAAAGTTAAAAATGTATTTGATCTTCCAAAATATAGATATTTGTATGAGCTAGAGACAGGGCGAGCGGACCAATAGGAGCAGTCCGCGTGGATCTTGCTTAACGGACTCAAGATGCAATTTATATGCCTAATAATTGTAATATAAGCAATTGAGCTATCCTGCAATTATAGATAGTAACTAATTATTGAATCAAATAGCTTGTCCTGACATACCATCTGCAATAAATTGAGCAACGACGGGGACTAACATGCCGCCATAAGAATCTCCAGCAACATAAAAGCCGTTTGAGCGAAAACGAGGGTGCTCTACTAACCACTGCAATATGCGAGATGTATATACACAAGGATTGGAGCTAGCGCTCAGGAAATAAAAGTTAAAAATGTATTTGATCTTCCAAAATATAGATATTTGTATGAGCTAGAGAGACAGGGCGAGCTGCATCAGACCTTTTTTAGAAACCCATAAACTTGATTAGAAGAAGAAGAATCCCCTGTCATATAGGTTTGAGATACAGTTGGGACTGAGAATCCAGTCCCAGCCGGGTAATCCAGAAAGATAATGCTAGATACCTGATCACACACAAATATACATATATATGCGCGCTAGCTAGTAATTGAAGAATTTTTTTTTTCTTTCTTTCTTACTTATGGAAAAAAAAAGTTATTGATTTAGTGATCCAATCGCTTATTTATTTACCTTGGTCCAAGAGTAAGGATTATAAAGAAGAGTTGGCACACTCCCATCATAAGCATCTATTTGAAATTTAACAGGACCTGCATTGAATCTTCTTCATTTGTTATCATATATGATTTAAGCTTGGAGTTAATTATCTAATTATAAATTTAAGAAGTTTAAAATTGGGAAAATAGGTGAAAAAAAAAGTCCTCACCAATTTCGAAGAAGAGAGCCGAGAAGCTTGAACAACCGGGGCCTCCACTAAGCCAGAGGAGGAGTGGGTCCTCGCTGGCGTTTCTCTCCGACTCAATGAAGTAGTAGAACAACTCCACGCCATTAACTTCATCCACCGTCAAATACCTGCGCAAGACTATTGATGCTTTCATATATATGCCTTTTAATTTCCTCCAATTTATTATCAATTTTCTATTATTAATTACAAAGCAACCAAATTATATAATGATGTAAACACTCTCAATTCAAATTTATTGATCACTTTGTTTGGGAGAATCAAATGAATAAAGTTGTAAGTAACATGTAGATGGATGAGCACTTTCAGATTTTGCTGTAATTGAGTTCAATGAAATTAGAAATCAGTATGATATTTAAATTCAGAAAGAGCTCTTTTCACTTATATAAATATGTAGATTAATCTGATGGGCTCACCCAGTTTCCATTTGGAAGGGAAGCTGCCCTTTGAAGCCTGGTAGTTGCTGTACATGATTTGGAGTTGAAGAGATAGATTTTTGTAATATCACGAGAAAACTAAGTAGAAGTAGTACAGGACTCCAACGAGCCATTGCCGGTTTGCCTTAATCCAAGCAGGGGGAGAGAGAGAGCGCAAAGGCAAAGGATGTGAGATGGTTTTATTTATACATCTACAAATTATGCATTGCACGGTCCTGCCCTGACAATGACGGGTAAAAGACTGTTAGGTAGCGGCCAATCACACATTAGATGTGGGCCCTTAAGTTCACTTACGGAGAGAGTATATGGGGACCAGCGCTTTAACTTCACCCAACGGTCTTTTTTGATCTATTGCCCGCTTTTGTTTTGTTCAAAGTTTGTTTTATTGCCTTCTAAGCGTCATAGAATTTTTGTGTTCGGAAATGGTTTTTTTTTTTCATAATTTTGAGCAAATTAGAACAAACATATGCATACATCACATACTCAAACTTTAAATCTAAGACTTCTTAGTTATGAGCCAAAATTTTCAATTAACATATCAAGATAAACTGTGTCGAAAGTGGTAAATAAAAAGAGATTAGATTTGATTTTGATGTATTAGTTATCAAATTTACGTTTAATTTTAAATTTTAAATTAATGTCTAAGATTTATTTATTTAATAATTTAATATCATTATATATTTCAATAATCTAATATGAGATTATATAAATACTCGTTTGCTTAAATGACACATTCATGACAGATAGAGTTTATTTGTTGGTTTTAGGGTTTAGAGTTTAGGGTTTAGGGTTTAGATGATGCAAGTATGACTGCTTTACCAACAGTGGAGACTCAATCTGAAGACGTTTCAACTTATATTCCTATAAATGTAATTTTCATTACAGATTGACACATATTGTCATCTACCGATCTATTCAATGCTAGAATCAGGCATGCTATTAATGTAGGTATTATGTTTCCAGAGAATGATCAACAGCTCAAATTAAAGCTACGAAACAAGTAGCTGGCAAACTAAAATTGGAATTAGCTCAATTTATAGAATTAGAAGACTTTGCATAATTTGCAAATGATCTAGATAAAGCTACTCAGAATCAATTGACAAGAGGTCATGATTACGTGAGTTGCTCAAACAATCCCAATCAGACCCTCTCGCGGTGAAAGACCAGATAGCTAATATTTAAACCAGAACAAATGGATATCTTTACGCATTACAAATTTGACAAGTAAAGAAATTTGCCATTGGGACGTTACATACCTACTTAACAAAGAATAATCCTAAATTCCAAGATATTCATTGAAGAAGCTGAAACTGTTTTGAGAGAAGCAATTTATGAACAGATCGAACTATTTCTACTTCAGGAACAAACATAAATACATAAATGTAAAAGGATCGTTTTTCTTATATTCTTAATTCAGAGAAATCCTCGATAAAGATTTCTGATTCGAATCATTCAAAAAAGGGCCTCTTTTATCCTTTAGAAAAGAGAGTTATATACATATTCTATTCTCTATGTAGAATAGATATATAGATATAAATTACGTCCAATAGGATTTGAACCTATACCAAAGGTTTAGAAGGCCTTTGTCACATCCAATAGACAATGGATGCCCTTCATTCCTATTTTCGCATTTTTTTCATATCATAAAATAGGATGTATATCAAAAAGTCAAAAAGGATAATGCATCTGTATATCATATGAAGTTAAGAAATGAATATATAGCTGGTAGCAGGAATCGAACCCTCGTCGTTAGCTTGGAAGACTAGGGTTTATAGTTGACGTTGGTTGATCATTTTTAACATCTCTAATTCAAAACCTAACATGAGGTTTTGGTTTCATTCGGCTAGCTCCTTTATGGAAGATCTATATATTCCCGCTAGAGAAAAAATGAGATCCATAACATCTATGTCAGGTTTCTTTTTACAAATGCATCTAAATCTTCCTGCTTTTTAGATGATCCCTCTAAAGAGGGGGATTCTATCAAATCTTTCTAGTATCTAATATGGTTATTTCATTCCCTATTTCTTTTCTACTCGTGGGATCCTAAGAAAAATAAATTTGTTTCTACCGAGCTAAAACAAGAAGCCGATGGTTCTATTAATCCAAAATGATCATTTTCTTGCTATTTGGCTTCAATCTCCCCCTTTTTCAGAGCAAAAATTGAAGATTTAGTTACGATTGAAAGTTTTGTACTATCATCCATAGATCCTTTATTCATACTCATTCAATTGGAAAAATTGAACCAATCAAAAAAATTATGCTTCTCGACTCCATAATCCAAATTTTTTATTAAGATTGCGATTGCCTTTTGGAGAGAAGTCGTGAGAATGTATATTCTTTCCTCAAATGTCCTATTGATGGGGAAAGAATTAAATCTTTTTAAGAAATAAAATTTTTGATCCGAATATGAAAAAAATGGAAAGACCCCTTAACTATTTAAGTTGTTAATAGTACAAATCATACTTTTACCACTAAACTATACCCTCTACATATTCATTATTAGATATGAATGGGCTATTTGTCCAAAAAACTAATTTGACATAGTCAAGTTAGCATGAGAATCATGAAATTTTCAGCAATAACGACACGTATTTTGTTATGCTGCAGCGCGGGATTGAAAAAAAAGAATAGGTGAATAGCAAAAAGTTTAGTCAAATTTAAATAATTTAAATAGTGTACTAAAGTTTTAAGCATTCTTTTTTTGAATTCCTTTCACTTGAACCGACAGATTTTCTGAATTTGGGTAAATTGGGCCTTAAACTTTAAAGCATGAATAAGTAAAAGATTTAAAATCTTAAAAATATGTGTTTTCTATTTGATATTCTTTCTTTTATAAGATTTCTAAAATCTATTTCTTTTCTTTCTTGAAATTTCCTTCTTATTAAGATTTCTTAAGTGAATTAGAATTATTAAGATGAATACACTGAACTTCAACTTTCATTTATAATGAAATTTGTTTTTCATTAATGAATTTTGAAATCTTATACTTAAGAATAATAAAATAAAGACGAAAAAAATTAGTACTATATTACATTACTATTATATTCTAATACTATTACTGGATATTACTATAACATAACACTTTTACTATAAAGACTAAATATTCTAATTTATACTCTAATTTAATAAAATTACTTAGAACATACTAAGAATGGATATAGAATCTCTAACATTTTAGATTTTAATTTCATATTTCAATATAGAATATATCATATTCATATTAAGATAAAATAATAGAATATATAAAATATTATATATTAATCTAGATATAGATAATTTCTTAAATAATTTCTAAGATAATTTGTCTATTAGAATCTTATCTAATGTCTAAGAATTAGGAATGGCAATGAAAAGTACTATTCTTGTTTCAATAACAATTTTTCTTCATTGGAACAAAAGAAGTACTCGCCCAACTACTACTTATACTTAAGCAGGCCGGGGAAATGAACCTTTTGTACAAAATAAAAGAAGTAAGGTATTCTTTCTATTGAAGAAATCTATTTCGAAGAAAATAAAAAGGGAAATTTACACACATACCACTTTAAAACATCCTATTTGCATATCTAACACCCAAAATTTTAATATTACATGCATATTACCTTATATTATTTTAATATCAAATATATCACCTATATTTCTTTCATACCATCATATATTTCATTTCTACCACTCGTATTTGATATGAAAATGAACTATGAGTGGTATGTATGTAATATTAAAGTTTTAGGTGTTAAATATGTAAATAGAATAGTATTAGGTGGTATGTATATGTAAATCTCCCAAATAAAAATTGTTCTCAATCTTCACTTCACGTGTGAAATCACATGAAAAATTTCCAATTTGAAATGGGGAGAGATGGCTGAGTGGACCAAAGTGCAAGATTGCTAATCTGTTGTACTAATTATTCGTATTGCGGGTTCAAATCTCTCTCTCTCTCTCTCCAACCCCTTGATAACTTAAGATTTTAGAATCAGAAGAAATTTTGATTATTTTCTTTTATGAATTCTTTCTCTTTATCTATTCCATTTCTTTCTGCATTTATCAATGAAATACCTATGAAAAAAAAGTAAAAGTGAATCTCATCTTATTTTTTATTCTTCACGCCAAGGATTACGCTCTGAATCAATAGATGAGAATCCAAAGATGAAGAGAGAAACAAAGAATATTACTAATATGTAAATGAATAGTTTAAGAGTAAGCATTACAAATCTCCCAGATAAGATCTTTTTTTAAAGGAAATATATCACCTATTTTACGGCACACACTATACACTATTTTGATATGATGATCTAAATATGAAAAAAGATGGAAGTCTTTTTTTTTAAAAAAAAAAAAATTATTTTTATGAATTTCTTTCTAATGTAATATTCTATTGTAATAAGATTCGTATTTTTTCATTACCAAATATTTCTTGTCATATCCATATCTACAATTAGATCTTGTATGAAAACTTATAAAGGAAAGCTCATAACAAAAGAAGAAATAAGTTGATTAGCTAATTAAAGATCATCAACCCCCTTCCCTTATTCAATTTCAATATAATATACAATAGAAAATATCAGAATTTCGCTTTTTGAATCGAGGGTTCCTAATTTCTAGACTTATCTGAATCTTATTTCTGACCTTATTGATTTTAAGAATAAAAATATCATCTTTATTTTATCGAAGAAATTCTGAATTGAATCGAGATTTTCTTTTTTATCGAAAATTTACAGCTGCTTGCCAAACCAAGGCTAAGAGAAAAAAATAGTAAAGGGATAATCAGCATAACGTCTACGATTGGATTGAAAAAGGCATAAGCCTCTAGCAATTTGGCAAAGAAAAAACTTCTCGAATAAATGGTAGAATTAAGAAAGATACATATTAAACATAACAAATATTATTTTCTTGTTCTTAAAGATTAAAATGAAATTGAATTGATAAGAAATTATCAGATTGGATTGAGTTGTTTTTCTGAGGGATTTTTTAAGAGAAAAAAAGTAGATAAAAGAAAAAATTCTAATTTTTCTTTGACTTTTCCCCAATCAAGAATCCTTCCTTACATTATCCAATCAAATAAGAAAACAAGGAATTATATTTTCATACAATATATTAATTGAATTCTAAGTAATGATATATTAATCTTTTTGATTTTATACCTATTGTGTTGAATCCCAGTGACA